AGGGTTAGGGTTGCAGCCAGGGCTAGGGTTAGGGTTGGGGTTATTTCATATGCTGCTTATAGTCATTACTTTAATGCGTGTGGTTTCCCAGTGGGCCGCTGTTCCCAGGCCCTCAGTAGGTTCTCTCTTCTCTACACACACACACACACACACACACACACACACACACTCGCACATTCTCTCCCATTGTTCACAGATCGTCCCCCCGGCTCGTATGTCACTCCAGCAGCTTTTCATTTACCTGCACTGCAAAACGTGTCCCTCTCTACAGGACAGATTTTATAACAGTTCAATTATTCCCAAAGATAAATGAAAAACGTCTGTCAGTGTGTATAAAATCTGACTTTGTTGTGACGTTCACAGGAGCAGGTAAAACTAGGGAGTTTAATTTTAATCATTTCTATCTAAACATCAGTTGATATTTTCTGTAACTGATATTAAAAGAAAAGAGTTGTTGTGGACACGCCTCCTGATTGGCCATTGTTTTATGAGAAATGTGATGATGTTTCCCTCTGGATGATGATAAGTTATTTTTACTGTCAAGTCAAACTGAGCACAGAGATGGACCCTGTCTTTGATCAGGGACGATTCAGAGAGTGAATGTGAAGCTTTGTGCTCTGCAGGCCCCTGATGACGGCGCTGGAGATGCATCCTGATGACGACATTGTGTAAGAACCGGAGCACATTGGTAAAACTCAACACGCCCTTTAGAGTCATTGACAAGAGCTCAGGTTTGAACCTGAGACGTCTGCAAACGAGGACGAGTTCCCAACTCAAAAATTGATGGGAACGACGCCGGCCGACGACGAGCGACTGAAACAAGAGAAAAGTTGATCACTTGTGTTTTTCTGGCGACAGCAGAGCTTCAGCTGGACCATGGCAGGTTTACAGAGAATCACAGCGTCTCCACGCAGCTGTTTGATCATCTGGATTTCCACTATTTTACTCCTCATCCTCTTCATACCAGGTCGGTCTGAACTCGTCTTCATTCATCTCAGCTTCATAAAACACTGATGTGTCATGTAGATCACAATCTGAGCAAATGCATTTGCGGGCAAGTTGATTTGAATGGATTTTGCACAGTCACTTCTTCTCCCTCTTCACAGTCCTGCACACTTCAAAACAATCAAAATCATAAATGAATCACTTGCAGATGAAGAGTCAGAAGATACGAACCTGTAAAATCAGTTTTGTTTTCACCTCTGCAGCTTTCAGACTCAGACAGGAAGTCAGGCACAGACGAGACGTCCTGGACTCCACAGGTACATTTATCTCTGCTTAGTTTTTAGGTTTCAGCAGAAAAGGTGACTCCCAAATAGTCGAGCGTGTGAATCAGTGGGACTTCGATACCTCAGCTCCGCTCCAAGACTTCACTGTGTTCGTATCCCAGATATTTTAGCTTCATGTCTGCAGACATGTCGTCCACCTTTATTTACAGCCGATGAAACTGTATGTCCATGATTATCTTCTAGAAAAATACGGCACACAAAGAAAAATAAAGATCAGTTGCTGCGTTTAAAGAACTTCCAGAATATCTATCGATCGATCTGTGATTAATAAATGTCAACATGGTCTCAATATATGAGATGAAGCTTGACAGTAAAATAACCTGCGCCCCAGGGACCAGTGCCTCCAGGTCACTGCCACTTTCCTGTGATTTTAGAACATCTTGCAATTATTGAGCCACATTTTTGCTGATGCTGCTAATTCCATAATAGAGATCAAGTACATTGACTTTACTGTCTGCTTTTATTTCCCAGAAATCCCAGCAGAGCACATCGACCCCGCTGCCATCGACCTCACCCCTCTGGTCAATACTTTAATAAATTCAAGCCAATCGGGTACGTTGTCATAATATCATTCATGTGCAAATCAATTCTGAGCTGTAAATCTTTCATGTTCCACATGATCAATCCTCCGCTGAGTCAAACTGCAGGATCAGGATCAGGATCAGTCAGAGATCTGAAGATTTATCACTTAACTTTATTTCACGTGGTTTTCTGTCAGTGGTTTTCACGCCGGTCAACATTTTCATATTCTTTCCATTGACGCTGCTTCTAACATCTCTGGAAAGCAGCTGTGTTGTTTCTGTTTCTTCGGTGGACGGATGTGGGTCACAGTGAAATCATCATATTTTGGTACAGATCCGAATCAGGGGACGGATTTCTGTGAGACAAGACATTTTTCAACTTAATTAAAGAATAATAAATATCTTGATGAAGAAGAATCAGACATGATATTTAGAGTTTGTGTGATTTGGTTTGGATCAAAATAAAAATCCAGGTTTTATTGTAACTCATTTAAAGGTGGTTTCGTTGGGACCGTTGGGCCTCGGTGGGTGTGTGTCTCCACTGAGGGACGTTTCAGCTTCTTAAGTTATCATCACACTTAATGTGACGTTTTAACTCACAGATGAAACTGAACACTTCTGCTCAGTGAAATCCTCTGGAGGCTGAAATGTGAAATTAAACCAAATCAGTCGCAGTTGTGATTTCAGGTTCCGGATCGTGTTCAGTTCAAGTGAGTTTATTCAGAGAGTCGTCTCCTTTTGTCTCTCAGGCTCCCGTCAGCTCTTCTCCCTCCTCAGCGTGACGTCCTACAGCTCACTGGCTCTGCACAAGCTCACCCTGTTGGTCTACAACAGTAAATATTCACTCCACACCACAGTCATCAGACGCTTCACTGTGGCTCAACATGTTGAGTGTGTGGGATAAATCTGTAACAAATGTAACTCAGTAGTGCCATCTAACGGTGGGAGCTTGTAACTGCATGTAATCCCATGTTATTGAACATTATTTAATAAAAAGATCAGGATTAACGTTCACTCACGTACATTCACCACCGTAGAGACCAGGTTCTAAATCAGGGTTTAAATTGATGAGCTTGAAATGAAGTTAATAAGTGAAAGGATCAAATCAAACATATTGAATATGTACAGTGTTAAAGGTAAATAAGAGAAATTAAAGGAAATAACACTCAGATCTTTTATTAGCCGACTTTAAATCAGTGATTTTGCTGATATGAAAACTTTTATTTGACAGAATGAACAATGTTGGAAAAGTTTACGCTTATGTTCAAATTAAAATAACAAAATGTTTATTTTACTCATTTAAATTCACTCTATTTGTGTTTTCTTTTTATTCATAGTTATATCAAACCTCAGTTTCTTTAGTTTTCTTTCTCATAAGGGTTTGATTTTTTAGGCTGTATAATATATCGGTATCTGATTTAAAGGAACATACACAGTGTGTGCGTCACAATGGAATATTTAAGTTCAGTTGTTGGTTTGTCTTCATTAACTCTCTTTAAGTGTCGGTGTCTCTTTTACACCAGGACACGATGAACAGCACAGAACTTTAATCATCCATCAGGTTTAACTTCTCTGAACTTTCATTGTTTCTTGAGTTTCCAGCATCAGAAGTCTGGAGAGCGACGTGTTCAGGAGAAGATTCTGTTACTGCGTCACAAACGACACCAACGATTTAACTGGTGAGAAACATGCAACACATTCTGTCTGGTTTTAATCCTTCTCCTCGTTTTAATTGAACTGTATTTCTCGTCAGACTTCACTGCCGTCCTGTTGGATGTGATCGGAAACTCAACAAGTTACCTGCACGAGCTTTTTAAATCTGCCTCCATTTTGTCGGGTGAGTTCATAGAGACATGTTTGTTTGCGTCCCGTTTTGTAAAAGCTGCTTCTCATGGTGCTTTGTTCTGTGTGTCAGTGAGTCACAGGAACAACTCGGGCTGTATTTACATCTGCGTGATGGCAGGTAAGACGGGTGAGTGCAGCCGCTGGAACAAAACATCATCAACACGCCTCCGGACAAACTCCTGCTGGGTTCAGATTTTACTTGAGGGCTGGCAGGAGAAACTCCAGAGAAACTCCAGAGAAACTCCAGAGAAACTCTGGAGGAACTCTGGAGGAACTCTAGAGGAACTCTGGAGCCTCTGAGTCACACATGTGGATGTCAACCTGCAGAATTCTTATTCTACCACAAGTGAAATTAAGTTGTTTTAATTAATTTTTTATCCCTGATGACGTCTAAGTTCAGATTAACTTTATTTTCTTATTTCTGTATCGAAATGTTTGATGCACCAGTGTCTCATATTTTACCTGATGATGATGATGATGATGATGATGAAGATGGTGATGGTGATGGTGATGGTGATGATGATGAAGCTCAGTGTGTGTCTCCACCAGGACCAGAGGTTCCAGAGCTCTGGGACGTCGGCTCCATCTCGCCGCTCTTCAACCAGACGATCGTTGAAGGACCACACAAAGGTTTGATGCCTCCAGACACTGAACATGAGAAATGTTATGTTCAAAATAAATATTAAAAATGAGGTGAATTGTCGTAATCACATACATTTTCGTCCTCTTTTGAAAGTAGGTAACGTCTCGTCCTTCAGAATTCCCGTCGGTGAGTCAGTCGTTCCGTTCTCGTTCTGTTGTCGTCTGTCAGAATCTAAAGAGACATTTCATCCTCCTTTCCAAACATCTGTTTTCTGCAGATTGGAACCAACCGCCCACGAATCTGAGTCACATCTCTCCGTCAGGGATGAGCTCCGTGTTGACGAGCAGAGTCCACGCCACTGCACACGGTGAGTCCCCTGTGACATCGTGACATCACGTTTCTTCAGGACTGGTCTGATGAAGACCAGCTCAGGCTGTGTCCAGGTCAGGTCGGTGACTGTTTCCTCTCGTTCATCAGTTTCACCAGCGATTAACCATGAAACAGCTGCGACAACGGCAAAGATGGACGCCGCTCGACAACTGACAAGTGTCGTGCAACAAAGTCAAACTACAGCAGATGCACCAGAGATGATACCAACGGAAAAAACTATGAAACCAACCGTGAATACAGAGCAGACCCAGGCGACAACTGTTCTACAACCAACAACAAGGTCGACAACTGCTGCAAGTACAACACAACTCACCACAGTGTCGTCCGAGCACGTCACGTCCTCCCCAGTTATTAGCCTGACCCGGCTGACCTCATCTCCACACCTGAGAACCACAACCCAGCCCTGGACTTCCTCAGCTCCTCGGTACAGACCGACTCCTGTCCGACCTGCGACGACCCGAGGGACGACAGGACTGAGCTGGAGAACTACAACACCCAGCAGGCAACCGGAGAAACCAGGTGAACACGTCTGGGATCAGTGGTGTTTCATGTGAGCAGAGGTTATTTAAATCAACACAACTTTTCTACCTTGAAGCAGCAGCTTGACTGAAGTGAGTCTGATGTGTGAGTGTGAACGTGGAGCGTCTGTCCTCTGTCACTCTGCTGAGTGGGTTCGATCCCCTGAGAGAACAAGTGACTGAGAGTCACCCGCTCTTCTCAGTTCTGTCAGCTCTTCTGGGTCAGGAAGCAGAGGATCATGGGTAACTTCCAGTAGGACGACCCCGTCAGAGCTCAACACATTGATTAACTTTGATTTTCCTAAACATGAAAACACTTCAGAGACCAAAAGAACGAATCATATTTGGCCACAGGGGGGCGCTGTTGCTCAGTAACAGTCACACAGTGTTGCTTTAATGCTTTTTACCGTTGCCATGGAGATTGGGTGTTTTCATCGGCGTCTGTTAGTTTACAGAATCACAGAAAAATGACTCGACGGATTTTCATTGAACCTGACAGAACGTCAGAGAAGAACATTTTGTCCGATCAGGTGATTCTCTCGAACATCGTGAGATCGTTTGAGGATTTTCAACATTTTCACTGATTCCTGGATCTTGATGAAATAAATCCGACGGACTTAAGGGAACTGATATTTATGAGTGTGTGTGATTTGGTGCAGCTTCATTAGATTTAAGGGACTGTGTTCACAGTCATGATACACATAGACATAGTGTGTGTGTGTGTGTGTGTGTGTGTGTGTGTGTGTGTGTGTGTGTGTGTGTGTGTGTGTGTCAGACTCAGAGAGCTGGAGCGATCCATGCAAGAGGCTGAGATGGTAACCATGGTAACGTGGCCAGGCACGGCCCCTTCATGTGAAAGCTTTGGTGGTTTTTTTTAGGCTGCAAAGGTTAAAAGCAAATTGAGGCCAAATATTCCCGGTTTAAATGTCGAGAGAGAAAAAGACTGAAGAGGTCAAATAGTTTTCTAGATAACGTCGGGACTTTAATAAGAATAAAGACATTTTGAAGATGATGAATATTCAATAGATGCAGAAAAGAATATAAATAAATGCAGATGATGCAGGAAACTCTAAATTATTTGATCTAAATTTACAGCCTCTGGATTCACAGGACGTTATATTGTGATGAAGACGTAAACATGTTGACACGTTGAGGTCAGACACTGAGTGATCAGATCACACTGCGTCTGATTCAGAATAATATCAGAATATCAGTTTCCTTCTAAACATGTTTGTTGGAACATTCGTTCCTCTTTGTTTCTATAACTTCACTTCAGAAGCAGTTGGGTTCAAACAGCAGGTTGACAAATATGTTTTTATGCCAATTTAAAAACCAAAAGTCTCAATATGGACATTTTGATAGAATGTGCATTGGAAACATGTATTTTTGAGTAGATAATAAATAAATCATTTTCCAGATGTGAAACATTTCAAAGAAATGAATCTTGAACACACCAGGAAATGTCTCTGCTGTAAACGTTTGTGCACACAGACGTGTGACGTGTTACTGCCACTAGATGGCAGTAACACGTCACCCTAGAAGCTGCCCCCCCACTGAGTTCTGCCTAGCAACGAACAGAGGGGCCGCAGCGTCCTCAGTCATTTGTCAGTGAGTCATTAGTGTGCAGAGAGTGTTTGTCGCCAAGCTGCACAGCTCACACACACACACACACACACACACACACACACACACACACACACACACACACACACACGCCCTCGTGTTTAAGCTTCGCTGCTTCTGTGTTGATTTGTAAACAGCAGATGATTTGAGTTAAAGGTTCAGTGTGTAGATTTTAGTGGACATGGCTGCCTCCGTAGAGAGGACCCCCTCCGATGTTAATATTAAGTATTTAAATATTAAGTTTAAATATAAAAAGAACATTCTAAGGTAAAGAAAACAACAGTTCTTACAATTTACATGAAACTATCACTAATGAAAACATTATTAGAATTATTTAATGTTCAATCCGTCTGACGAAGCAGATGTTTAGAAATATCGATAGTCTGGATTAACAATGTCACAAAGAAACTGCAGAATGTGTAGAAGTATCTGATTGAAATCCTCATTTGAATATGTATTGTTATGGTAATTAGGAGTCTTTGTACCTGCAACACATCGTGATTAGGAAGCACCAGTGATTCCAGTGACCGAAGGACTGCAGCTACATTATGCTTCATTTATCCAAATCACCACTTTAGACTTTCAGAGGCTAAACGTGTATTTGTTTTATTATTCTACTTTCAGACTTATCGTCTTTAAATCCCTGTAATTTACTTTCAAATGACTTTGGCTTTGTTTTGCAGAGCAGACAAATTCATTAAGCAGCTCAGAAGGTTTTTATCGAGCTTGTTTGTGACTAACGTGGCGTCTCGCTCTGTCCGTTGAGAGGCTGTCCCTGGAGAAGGCCGGAGCAGAGCGGGGAGTTGACGTCCAGCAGCACGACGACGGTCGGCGCTCACAAGCTGCAGCCCTGCGTCCTCGAGCTCTGCAAGTTCTTCTCGCAGTGTCTCTGCAGAACCGTCAACCACAGGACACGCGTGACAAGGTTTCCACACGTCAAAACACGACACCGCTGCAGATTTAAACACGTGATGGGAGGAGCTGAGTCCTCCGTCCACAGCTTCACCTGTTTTGTCTGTTGCACACATTTCCTGACCCACAGTCGGCGTCTTGATCCTTTTATCAACTCTCGACTGTCGCACGTCTGCAGCTCAAAGCTTTTACTGGTGAAATGGAAAACGTCAGGTTTGAGTTTTGTTCTGTTGATGTTGTGTTGCAGGTTCTGTGACGACAGCCACCTCTGGTATGAGAAACACACGTCTGAGGTGTGTCGGCGCGTCAGGAGACTCTCTTTCTCCAGAAGTGAGTGCAGCTGCAGGAAGGTGGATGACTTTGTTTCACATTAGAGTGTGAAGGATTCTGAAGCTCAGTGGACGTCACAGGTCAGAGGACGTCCACTGAGCTTGTGGACAGTGGCAGCTGGATATTACCCATGATCCTCTGCTTCCTGACCCAGCAGAGCTGCTGCTGTAACAAACTGTTCAGAGTTCTTCATGTTTTAAAGTTTCCTGCTGAACATTGGAGATAAACTCTGGTTGTTAAGAACTTCTCAGTGTTTTGAACTGATCTGATGGAGACTCTCAGTCGCTTCCTCTCACAGGAGATGAACCCACTCAGCAGAGTCACAGAGAACAGACGCTCAGGGAGCGAAGGAGGAAACGTTCTCCACGTTCACACTCACTTTAATTTAGCTGTTGATTTAAAGTGAGAAGCTGCACAGTGTTGATGGATCTGGATGCAGCTCTCAGTTCAACCTAAGATTTCATTATCAAACAAAAGCTGTGTACTTGTGTGGATGTAGTCTAACGCACTATTCCTTTAATTTAAGGAAAACCTAAAACTAGAATCAGATAAAATGCTAAAACCTTCATGGTTCATAAAAAGTAAAGTGCTCTGATGAATGATGGGTTTTTTTTACAACAGAAAACAGATGAGGTTAGAATAACAGCTGATAAATAAAATGTTTAACACGCGAGTCATTTGTTTTTTACGACACTGACGATATCAGTTTCTCGGTGGATGTTGTGTCGGTGCTTTTAGAGCAGTTGACTGTCAGCACAGTCGAGTGTGAGTCAGAAATAATTGGGGAGCGCACTTCCTCCTTCACCTGTACTGATGGGGACGTGTCGGCCATGTTGCTTGAAGCTGGTATCAGAGCTCATTACTGAGCAGCGTCTCTGCAGGAGCCTGCGAGCAGCCGCCGCCACGAATCCTCACAGCTAATGGGCTCAAGAGGTCACAGAGAGAGACGCCTCTCCCACAGCTTCTGACCGCCGATCATCCCACAACGCTGATCCCACCGCCGGGCCATGCTGCCGTGTCAGTCCTCCTCCCGCCGCTAATTAGACCTCAGTGTGTATTCTTAGAATCGAATTTAGTGGTTTGATTTGAAATTGACATCAAGGCCAGTCGAGGCAAAGCCAAGCTATTTATATAATTCTGTATATACATATATACATATATATATATATATATAGAGAGAGAGAGAGAGAGAGATATATGTATATACAGAATTAGAGTCAAGTATACGTAGACGACGCCCACGTAGGTGATGACAGGACGTCTTTCGTCCTTTAGATCAAATGAAACGATGGACAAACACACGAAGCTTCAGACTCAGATCAGAAAACACGTCCTGTAACTCTGATTTTAACACTTTTACTCGACCGCAGACGAACTGAAACAAAATAAAAGTGAGTGGAAGATTAAAATGAACAGTTGAAAATTAAAAGACTTTCACTTAGAATCAAAGTAAAAAATAAAAATGTATAAAATAACTTTAAACTTTGAATCATAGTCTGATATATTTTTTATTGGCGCAGGATTATTTTATAAGATGAGCACATGAAAGCTGAGGGTTTGAAGAATTTGTCTCCAGTGTCACTGACCTGTTTGTCCTCCTCCTCCTCCTCCTCCTCCTCCTCCTCCTCCTCCTCCTCCCACAGATCTGAAACAGAGATGCTTGACAAAGATGTGCAATAAACTGTGACCAGAGAGGAGTCGAGCACAAAGAGCCGTTCATCATCACAGGAAGTGAAACCAGCGACCTGCAGCTGAGTTCACTGCTGGAACATCTGCAGAATGTATGGAAACAGTGTGATGGCTTCTTTTCTCCAAACCTTCAGGAAACTGTTCACACCATGTTGACGCTCATCACTACAGTCGGACTTACGTCTTAGGAAGAAGAAGAAAAGACGACTAAACCGAAAACAACTCGTCCTGGACTCTTTATAAAAATCTAAAACTAGGCTCCTCAAATCAACTGCTGATTCAAAAAAAAAAAAAATAGAAACTAATATAAATTTAGTTGTCAGTTAAATAAAAATCTGGCCAAATTTTCCCAGCAGCCCCTGCTGCTCCCTGTCAATCAGACATGACTGCACCTTGTAAAAATATGACGTGAGAGAGAAGAGAGCTGTGAACAGTGAAATCAAAACACTGGATACGTGAGATTAAACTCAGAACAGCTATGAGGAAATATCTTTTCACATATTTGTAATCAATCTATTTCAGCTTGTGTCTGTGCAGAGACTTTTTAATGATGTCGTTTACTTCTTCACCGATGACGTCATGATGAATGTTCAGTAGTTTGGATGTGTTCCAGTTACCGTGGTGATTTATCTCCAAAGTGAAGCAGCGTCAGAAAACCAGATTTAAGATGAGATGAACTCAGGATGAGGTAGAAGGTTTGAATTCATATCCATCTGTTCTCGTCTTGATGACAGTTCACTTCTTCACCATCGGGGGAAATTTGGCTTCTTGTGAAACGGGGGGAGATGGGATTGAACCGCCGACCTTCTGGTTAGTGGACAACCCGCTCTACCCCCTGGACCTCAGCCATCCTAAACAAGAGAACATGTGGAAGTATAAATAGAATCAAATACTCAATAAAATATAAACAAATGTTTTTTTAATATGCACATTTCAGTACCAGTTGAATATTCTGTGTAGAACCGAGTACTGGAGTAAAGTACTGTGGCACGGGACACTGTGTGTGTGTACTATGTACGAGGAGATATTTGAAATAAACGTGTGTATTTATATATTAAATGTATTTATAGCTCTGAAGTTCTTCTTCAAACTCTCATTGGAAGAAAAAACTGTTTCTGTAGCAGCAGCTCGACTCAAGGTGTGAATGTAAATCTATCCACTTCCTGTGTGTCACATGACACAAACATCTGGACCACCCCCCCAGATGCACCTGTCCCATACAAAGCCCCTCCCCCCGGTTATTAAACCCTCAGCTCCTGTGCTCCACGCCCCCCCCCACCCCACTGCTGCTCATTGATCTGAACTCCTGGGAGGATCAGATAAGAGCAGGTCGACCCCCGGGTCACAGATCCACCCCCCCCACCTCCCTGCGGGACAAAGACCACTCTGTGGGTCCCCCTGTCAGGACCCCACCTCCGCTACAGCCTCAAATACCTGCACAGCAACTGAACCATGATAAGCTCCTGCTCCGGTGTCACCTGAGAGCCAATAAGACCTGACCCCCCCCCCCAGGTAGGACTGATAAACACAGTCAGAGGAGCTCAGAGTTTATTCTGCAGAAAACAAGACGACGTGTTCGCTACTGCTCACATCGATCCTGAGGACGCACGTTTGACTGCAACTTTAATTCAATGAAGAAACTTCGACGTCTCCACAGAAGGTAAAAAAAAAAACGATCTGTTGTTTATCACTTTGTTTTTTAAGCTTTGTGTTGGAACCACTGTTGTGTTGTTGTGTTAAACTGGTGAACGATCCTGCAGCTCTTAAACTCCTTCAGCTCCTTGTTCTGGTTTTGCTGGTTTGATTTTGTTTCCTGCAGCAGTTGTTTTAAAGAAACGATCTCACTGACAGTGTCTTATTTGATTTCAGTTTTTATTCCACATCACCTTGTTTCTCCTCAACCTTGCAGCAAACCGCAGACAGACTCAACACCGGGAACAAGTAGCAGCTCAAACCCAGATATTTCTCTGGAGCTCGGTGGAGACTGAGTGTGGATGAGGCGGCTGTTTTCTCACCTGTGAGCCGCTCTGCATGAAACCACAGCTTCCTCCCGTGACGTCAGGTTCCAGTCATGTTTCTGATGTGGATTTTCATCCTGTCTGCTGCTCCAACTGGTGAGTTCTTCACAACGTCCCGCTCCTGTTTCAAGGGTCAAATCCATTTAGACAAAAGTTATTTATTGATTTTAAATCTTCTATATGGACTATAATATAATATAATAAAATAACATCACCCATCACACTGCTTCATCTTTTGTTAATCTGACAAACAGCCACTTGTTTGATTCAAAATAAAAAGTTATAAGTTAAAAAGCTCGCTCACATTTTTCATCTTTGTTTCAGTTGCTGACAGAAACATTGTCATGACATGATGTTGTGATGATCTCGAGTGTTTTTGTGTAATTATTCTAATGTAGTAAGATGAACATGTGACGTGGTCAATGGTGCGTTCAAGAATCATTTATAATAACCATCATGTTCCGTCTTCAGCTCTTTGTGCAGCCTCCGTTTTCTGCCCGGACCCAGAGGCGAGTGACCAAACTGCAGATTTCATGATTGGTAAGAAGGACACATGATGTAATAAACGGTCACATGAGACACATGAGCTTTAATCTTCATTAACGAGTCGGCTAATTAACGGTTCACTGGGTTGAAAAGATGAGTCAACTATCGGTTCAGTGAGACACTGGAACGCAGCCTGCAGTGAACGAACATGTGACTTCTGCAGAAAGGTCAGAGAGACTTCAGAGTCGTCAGTGTCACTGATAAAAATCTGTCGACCATCACGTTCGTTCATCTGCTTCGAGATCCTGCGTTTTTTAAAATGATAAAACAAACTTGTTTGAAGTGTTTGATTTCCTCAAAATGTTGATTTGAGATTTAACGACATTCAAACCGACATTTTCACTTGGAACACAAAAAATGGAAAATTAAGAAAAAAATGTGAAATATGAAGTTGGTGACCATGGAAACAGATTTAACCAATAAATGATGATGGAGAGAAATCACGTGACTTAAATGTCACTCAAGCAGCGCATGAAACTGCACGAGGACCAATGAGGAGGCTCCGTGTTCTTTGAATCGTTAACACGTCCGTCACTTCACCTCATCGACCTTCGACCTTTTTGTCACATCATTGTTTTGTGCCGCCTTATTCTGCAGTAAAACGGACCTGACCTGAGAATTAGCGCCATCTGCTGCTCATGTCAGGGAACCGACCAACATTTAGCATAATAACGTGGATGGAAAAAACTCATATTCTTCAGTTTTCTGAAAATCTGACTCAACTCAGTGTTTTTCTCCTTTAGAACAATCGTTCAAGAAATCCAAAGAAAATTCAAGTGAATCTAAAATGTGATGAGATTTGTTTTCTAAAGATCCAGAACTGAACCGATCAACAGACGGTTGATGGATTCGAGCGTCGGCTGAACGTCTCGCTCTCATCGGACTCATCGTTTTCCTCCAGCTGCTGTTTTTGTGACATTTTCTGTTGCAGTTGTTGACATTGAGGTCGACTGGTCCGCCTGCTGTGATGTTCTGGGACACCTACAGTCCTAATCAGCACCGCGGGAACATCTGGCATGCGGAGAGCTGCAGCCTAAACAATTTTCTGCCCCGCATGCGTCTCTGGACTCAGGTTTTTTTGAGCAACAGGATTATCTATGATTAAATCAGCCGGCTCTCGAGATGGAGGAAATCGAGTTGGAACATGAGTGAGATTGTTCAGTTGTTTGTCTCTTCAGTTTCCATCTTGTTTTGCTTCTCCTCTCCAGAGTGTCTGGGCCTGCGCTTCACCTGGATCCACTCGGTCTTCGATAATTTCCCCTCGCTGCTGAATTTTGCCGTGAAACTTCACTGTGCGACGGGGCTTTGTCCGCACGACCTGGAAGATTACGGCTGCTCCTGCAGACATGCGGCGTCTGGAAACCCCGTGGATCCTCTGGACGTGTAAGTAAAGAATCAGCAGCAGCTGGTGTTCAGACGCAGCTCGACTGAATTCAGAGGCTGAAGGAAGGCAGAGTCTTAAAGACGTTTGATGACCAGCAGGAGATTCAGAGCTGATAAACAAACCCATGAGATCTTTTCTCATCTTTCATCTAACGAGAATAAAGAGCTGATGGTTGTTCCTGTAAACCAGCAGCGCTCAGTTTACACAGTTCAGGAGTTTACAAGAGAAATCTGTTAGTCAGAAAACAAATGAAAGAACACGTTTGAGTCTTTAATCGTCTCTTTAACGTGAAACCTGCGTCAGGTCACATGTTGTGACGGGAGTTTGAGGTGTTTGAATGGTGACGAACAGACGACAGAGGAGGAGTTTAGTTGCTTTAGTTCGTGTTAAATCTTGAGTCAGTTATTAAATGAATATAATGATAATAAATATTTCTTTAGAGACTTCGTGAACAGTGGATTCTAATAGATTTACATCTGATCTGCTTTATTTCAACAAACTGAAACCAAAGAATACGACTTGTTTCATCTCATTTGAAATCTGTTGTAATTCGACGCCCCCTGCTGGCAAAAGTAACGTTTAAGCTCCAGTTTTTAGAGTCGGTAGCAACTTCTACTTTTACATTCACAAGTGTGTGTCTGACGTTAGAAGATGTTCAACCTCTGAACTGAAAAGTTAAATTCAGAACCAGGCGTGTCGTCACTTTTCACTTTGGACTGTTGTGCCACTTCGGTCCAGTGGGTGGCAGTAAAGTGGTTCGAGGTGGTTTTAGAAACTACGTTAATCCAAACACAACACGTGAAGAAGCTTGAACATTATCAGCCGGTCGAGCCTCCACAGAAATAATATGACCAGAGAAAACTTCCAGGCTCTGTAGGGGGCGCTCACTGTCATTTCTTTTTTTTACTGCAGCTGCTGCGAGACCCACAGACTGTGTTACCAGAACACTGCCCCCTGCAGGCAGGCGCTGCCGCTCCTCCCAAACAACATCACCTGTCCAGCCTCAAACAGCAGCTGTGGTAAGTTTGACAAATACGTCCTGTCGAGTAAACATGAAGCAAAGCTCACAGCTGCTGCAGGACGTCTCCAACTTTACTTTAGTTCTACATGAAAATAAATATATTGCGATGAGTACTCGTACTTTATCCTGCTGCTGTTCCACCAGAGAACTATGGTCCCAGTGTTTTCATAAATATTCTGACAGCGCTGTATCTGGGGAAATTAACCGACAGCCCTCATTTGATCTCTCTAATCTCGGAGATGATGGTGATTGGTGTCAGCAGAGGTTTTGTGAATGTGACCTCGCCGCCATCGACTGCATGAGTCAGCGCTCGTACAACTCGACTCTGAGAGGCTTCGCTGAGTCGTCCTGCTCGGCCACAAATCAAACAGGTGAGTTCACCAGAGCAGGAGCGGGTGACCGCAGCAAACTGCAGCTCGGACGCACCGTCACTTCACGTTCACACTGCACCTGATGTTTTCTACCACGCACGTCTCACTGAGCAGGAACCGTTTGGACTCCAGGGTCTTTGCGAAGGACACGTTAAACACAAGTGTTTCTAAAACATGAACAACATTGAAACAGGAATAACTGGATAAGTTCATGTGGTTCATTTACTTTCAAAGTGAAATCAAGAAATGCCGAAGCCAAGACTCAGTTTGACTTTGTGTTCCAGATGTTCTCGGTGTTACCGTGGACACGGACGAAGCGTTCGGAGGAGCAGGTGAGTCTGAGTGACGTCAGCATTCTGGTCACCTCAAACGGATCGGGTTGTTTTTTCGAGGCTGTACGTCAGCAGTCGGGGGGGGAGGGGGGGGGGGTTTCGGGTGGGTCGGCGATGTCAGATCCCAGGAAGCGATTGACTGGGTAGAAACAGCTGAGTCACACCTCTGATCCTCTCAGCCAATTAAAACGCGACCTCTTGACGTTTAATCCAGGAGCTTCCTGCCCACACGGCTGCAGAAGAACAAATCAAGGATGGTACAAAAGGTCTAAATATAGACGAGCGGTGAAGTTGAGGTAGAGGAGGTTGTTAGAGACGCAGCTTCACCGAGAGGCTTCTGTTCGAGAAAAGGTTTTACTGATTCCAGCCTCAACTTTAAACTCACTCCATGATTTCATGTCTCAAACAAAAAGTTGGTTTAACTTTCCTGATGAATGAAATGAGGACGAGATCCACAGAGAGCAGAACGGAAAACTTGGATTAATTGGAAAACTAACCCTTTTTACAGGCGTACAAAAGGTGACGTACGACATTAATACACAAGCACAAGCTATTTGTGATCCTGATAAGATCCCATACACGAGTATAAAAACCTTATTGCAGGTTTAGATGAATCTTGATTTGACTGGAGGTAAATGAATCGTTCTTCTTTCCAGATCTTCAGTCTGCAGTGAACGACTCTCTGAGCTTCCAGATCTACAACTCCTCGCTCCTGTCGGCAGGTAAAAGTCTCTCTCTCTCTCCGCTCTCGTTCAGACGCAGAGAAGACGACAGGGTTCAGGATGAAACTGAGAACATGTAAAAGATGGACTGTCTCATAACGTCTGACACAGAAACAGATAAAACTGATGATGGAGTCATGACGACGCTCTGCTCTCTGGTGTCGAGGACTTTTCTCCACCGCGTCTGTAGATTCAACCGATGACGAACGAACTGTGAGGAGGTGATGAAATCTGTTTTTTGTGTGTGGTCGGCAGAGATGGACGTGTTAATGACGAGCAGAGCGGACAACCAGAGTGACACCCCGGGGATGGATGGTGACCTCATCACCTCACCACCGGGCCCGCCCCCTCTGCTGACCCCTGCTGGTACGCTCTTCTAATTGACGCCCAGGTCGCAGGTTTGATACCGACGAGCAGAGACGCCCTGAGTGATTTAAAGACAGAGGAAGGAACCGTTACACACATACAACACATGTACAACACACATACAACACACACATACAACACACATACAACACATGTACAACACACGTACAACACACACACGTACAACACAAGCGTACAACACACATAGAACACACATGTACAACACACACAGACACAGAATAAGGTAAAATAAAAGTCAGACATATTCAGTGAGAGGATATTTAAAGGGTTTTGTTCAGGTTGTTTCTTTTGTGTTTGTTTACCAGAAGAACTTCAGTTGTGTGTTTTTGAAACTCGCCACCATTCTTTGTGTGCGTGTGTGTGTGTGTGTGTGTGTGTGTTATTTCAGAGGAGTTTGAGGAAAGTGAAGGTGGCGTCGAGGAGGAGACGACTCACCTGAGTTTCATCTCTAAAGGTCAAACACTCACATCACTCGCCGTCTCGTTTCCCATGATCCTCGCTGCTCAGGTTCTTTTTCTGCCAGACCTGTGTTTTTCCAAGCTGCCCATGTTTTTACATTTGGCTCAAGTTTGATCGTCCTGCAGCTTCCAAAACTCCAGAAATAATTTCCCCGCTGTTCGACTCCCGCTGCTCGATGACTCACTTGTTGGCTCCAACGTTTCCTGTCGCTGCTTTTACAGATTTGAATGAAACTGTGACAGAGGAAGCACTCGAGCGGGAAGAGATAAATGTGGATCCTGCATCCCACAATCCTCCAGCATCCAGCCTGGGTGAGCCAAGAAAACTGTGTGTGTGTGTGTGTGTGTGTGTGTGTGTGTGTGTGTGTGTGTGTGTGT